GTGGTGCGACAGCTGCTGTCGCCTATAGAAATTCCAATTTTCGCGAGGAAAAGAGCTCGTGGTGCCTAGAAATATCGCTTCCGCTCTCACACCCACCCTGGGGTTTCCTATCCCTGCAAGAAAAGGGATTACTCCAGACCATGAGAGCTCACCACATGTCACTTCCTTTACAGAGTGGGAGCCTTTTCAATCGAATACACGCAATTGTCTGTACTAGTCCTGTACTGTCTTCTGGGCGCTATCGGGAGGGGGGGGGGTTGACGGACTACTTGAACTCGGTCCTTTAAGCTGCCTCACTCGACGCTTTCGTCTGCGCTCTCGCCTTATCAGCGGCTCATGACCACTGTGATCTCACACATTCAAACTTTTGCCACACTGTAGTTGGCTCACCCACCTCGGAGTCCCTCCCTCCTACAAGGCTTAGTCCTAGGGCTCTCACCTCCTTCCTTGGGATTTGGAGCCGAGCCAGGCGCCGTTCTCTAACTGTCTGTGCTCTCCGCCATTCGTGGCAGGACCACAGAAGAAAGTTCAAGTAGTCCGTAAACCGGGGGAGGTGGTCACGGACATTCGAGTGAGTGAGTCACCTACAGTACTTGACATTAAGCAGAGAGGGGAAGGGATTTTGCGGAAGGATGTAAGCCACTTGTTCTTTCTCTGGCGTTTCTCCGCTCTCCTGAGCTTAGTTCCAGTTCACTTACTATCGGTCTTGTTTTGAATGTTACCCCTCCCTAAACTCATTAGCGCCCTATTCTGTAATGTAAATACATGTTAGCCATTTATATGTACATAGAAAGTTCAGGTGATGGTTATCGACTTTAATGATCTTCCGCCTGAAATGGTGTTAGCTATTGTTTCGCGACTAAGCTACGGCGACATGTGCAATTGTCTTATGCTAAACAGGAAAACTCGGAGTATAATAAACGCGAATCTCCATCTTGTACCTCGCATGTGGATCACGAACATATCACTCGATAGAGAGGGGGTAAGTTCGACATTCAGGCAATTTCAGTAGGAGGAGGCATTGTGTGCAGAGCGTCCAATGCGTTCAGAACTACTACAAGCATTTCCTTTTATTGACGCTCAAGTTTAGAACTTAGCCCCCTGGGGAGCAAGGCGGAGTGTGTGATCAGTTTTTATTTTCTACGAGTTCCTTCTTCTCTTGGGCTCAGTCTTCCAAAAATCCTCATCCCCTGGCACAGAATTGCCTTTTCACCATTCGGTACAAGAACTCGTCCGACGCACAAAAACTCGAAGAAATGTGGAGTGAAGCAGTTAGCAGTGCGTATTTTGAAATACAAATCCTAGAGGAAATCGAGTTAGAACAGTTCAACGAACTGTTGCCCTGCAACGCCCCTCCCCACTTGGAACACACCTGAGATCCTTTTGCTGAGTTGAATAACTTCAATTCTTGGCTTGAAACGATATTGACTCCACACCTTTCTACTCGGGGAGTTTCTTCGCATCATTTACAGGCGTCGCGATTCAAACTGTCTGTCTCAAGAAATTCGTTCAAAAGTGCCAAGAAAAACTGGTCGTGTACCTTCAACGAGAGCAGGGTCTCACCTAATGAAACAAATCGTGATATTACTGACTTCTATAACAACGAGGGTGAATTTTAGCGCTTTAATCTTCATGATCAGATGTTTGAACAGTGCTTTTCAGGGTTCTGTGGAATGAAGTGGGACAAAGCAAACAAGTCTACTGAGTTCGATGTACCATCAATAAGCACAGCCCTCGAAGAACACCTGAGCTTTGTCCTTCTCAGGGCAAACGTTCTCTGTTTCAAGTTGGTAGGGTTGAATATTGTTCGACGTGATTGAATCTCCCTCGTAGGCTTCTCCTTCACATGATGATGGACTGGAGAAGATGCTTTTTTAAGGTAGATCTTGACAACAGTGACATGAATGTCGTTACGCGAGTGTTACGGAAATCAAAGTCAAAGGTTAGCCATCTACAACTGGTTATGAATCGGACCATGTCGCAGGAAGTTGTGTCAGTCATTGACGCCACAGGTACTTCAGTTTGTCATCATTCCAAAATTTTCTCATAAAGTTGTCAAAGGTATCGATCATAGGTTAAAGAGTGAATTTTTTCCGGTGCTGAGACCATTGACATAGTGATGCGGGACAGCCATTTCTTCCAAAACCTTCCTTTCCAAAGCCAAGTGTTTCGAAAGGTTCACTTTCTCTTTTTCGCGTTCCTTTTCGTTGTCCATCAATTCCAACAGCAGTCTTTTTAGGCGTGGTCGGTCACTGTTAGAGCTTCAAATGAAGATGGGAGCGATCTCTTGGATATCAATGATGACGACCTCCTCTCACTCGATGCAGATTCCATAGAATTGTTTGGAGTAACTAATATAACCGTTCAAGGGACGCGGAAGCTTATAAATGTTAGTTGACATTCATTCGAAGGCAGTTTTGCAATTGAGAATTTTCAGCAGTGGTTATATGGTAGAAGAAAGATCTCGCTAGTGTACTACAGGCATTCTGAAGACTACGAAGCGACAGAGCTCTTGCGAGGAATTCCACATAAGGTTAGAGGGTTGTTTTTAAGCGATCATGAAACAGACGGCCACGATCAACTAAATATTACAACCTCAGAATCTCGAATGCTTATTTTTCGTCGGCACTTACCCATAGGGGTAATTTAATGCCATGATTCCGAATATGACATCCACTTTTGACGCCAGTTGGCGCATTTTTGTCACGATGGCTATTTTCACCACATTCCGCAACTTGTGTGTAGGGATTTCTTGGTGTGCTTATTACGAGGCACATCCCTCACCCTGTGATCCACACACTTCATTTTTGCCACACGATGGTTTACCCCCAAAATCCCCCACCCCAGCATAGCTTTGGACGCTGTAAATACGAGAGAGCATTTTTAGAGCAGGAAATACCAAGGTTGTTGTCAAAAAATGTCATATTCGTAATCAGGACGTCAAATAACCTCTACACAGAAATTTACATCGAATTTGGTGAAAACGGCTGTCGTGACAAAGTGGCGCCAAATGGCGCCAGCGCCAAAAATGAATGTCATTTTCGTAATCAGGGCACCGAATTACCCCTATAGGCGAAGTTTCGACGAAAAATAAAATTTTGAGGTTTTGGAGGCTGTAATATTTGCTTAGTACTCAGACTTTTGCTATCATATTTGTATCCCAAACGTTCTGGTTCAAATCTTTTGAACAATCGACTTTGTAGGGTGAGGTTTTGCCGATTGTCATTACCCGCGCTAATACTGATGAGGAATTGAAGCTGACGTGGGATTCGTCAAAATTCCGTTGTTTCACAGACGAAGCTGACACAGAAGGCGACGATGAGTTTCCGGATCTCTTGTGAAATCCGACCGTTATTATATAGTACTCAGTAGTATAGAACTCGACACTGCACTTTCCGAATTTAGCTCGCTAGCCTCTGTGACGTGACCATATCTTCCCAATCAAAGAGCTCTCAGCGTTTGAGTTGTTCACAACGATTATCTAGTGTGTTGTACCGGATTTTGTGGTGCTTTCGTTGTGATATCTATTGCTATGATTATGGGTAGATTGCGAGTGTTTCTCTATGTATGTGCAACTCACACGTGTTTTGACAGTGTGACTAAAAAGGTTTTGGTGTGATCTGATGTTGCATGTTTGTGAAGCGAATGCTTCAATTGCAGCTACGAGCTTACTCCTTGACGAAAATAAAGCATAATTTCTTATACTGGTGTTTGTGGAAAGCACGTGTTAACTGCGCCGATATCCTTCCCATAATCTAACAAACCAGGCTAAATAAATTATTGCTGTGAAGACGAATTAGGAAAGATGCAGCTGCCCTTGATCGGCAGGCGTTCGTTTTTCGGATAGAAATAGGCGGAGGCTCAGAGAAATCTACATTTCGTGCTCGCCTCGTCGCCTCTCTTAATCGCTTTTCGTAGCGTGCTGCAAATTTCCACTAACAGGATGCAGCGAAATCGCTAGTGAAGGGCCCTGAGTGGATTACATTTTTTCCTTCATTCATAAGATGTAGAGCACTACTGGTAGTCTGCTGCCTGTCTTACTTACCTTGACTTGACTTTAACTTCCCATGTAATTCCGAATTGAGACCTAGGCGAGTGGATAGAGTCTGGGATGCCAGTCACATATACGAAGTTCAAAACTGCTACTTATACCTACCAATGAAGTTTCGAACGATCAAAATGGTCCAATGTTCGACTTCCCCTGATGAAAAAACTTTGCATTTTTGCTTCCTGTCGATTTAAACTGCGTTTTAGAGTTTCAGGATTCATTTATGTTTTAGAGCCATATCTGTACGACATACATTTCAGACCGTTCGCTCAAATCTGGTGTAAGTAGCGCATTTCAGCGTTCCATTGCGCTTAGCGCATTGAAGCCAGCAATGATCAGCGATGAAAGAATTCCACGACTCTCTGTAGATGACAGCTCATGGTTGGAGAACTTTGCCAGGTTTTGTATTGGTAATAAACCGTGCGTTCTGTCGAAAGAAAGCACAGCTGACTGGCTGGCACGTCAATTATGGGTGCGCGAAGATGGCACCCCGAATTTGGACTATCTTCGAAAAAATTACGGTAAGTCAGTTGCCTGCAGTTGCTCTAGTAGCTGTCCTTTGCAATTCCTTTTCGTCTTAATGCTTTTTTCTTTGTTTTGGCTGGTAGAAAGGCCGCTTTTTTCATGGCAGGAGAACTCTTTGTTTTCATCCCATGAGCAGTGCGCTGGCAGTAACGCTCACGGTTCTGCTTGTTAAAAGTACACAGCATTCCTTAGCACTTCTTTATGAGGAAAAAAGACGCTCATCTTCTTCTGGTGGGGGACAGTCAAACAAGGCATTCGAAAACCGCTGGTGGGAGAAACTAGCACCAAGCCCAAGAAAGGGCAGGAATGCCAGAGAGAACAAAAGCAGCTGACATGCTCTCCCAGAATCCCTTTCCTTCCATAACAATAAAACTTAATTCCAGGTACTGTGAGTGGCTCACTTACTTCCCCCCCCCCTCCTACCCCAACGACATGAGTGCCGAAAAAAGGCTCACCGGAGATGCCTGCAATTGTAACTGGCGCGCGTTGTCGTTTTTCTATTAGACTGCAGACACGTGCATATGCCAATTAAGTATTCAGGGAAGCCAATTTTAAAATTGAAGGCTGTGAGTGTGATAAAGCCTGTCTGCAATAGGGAAGTATATGCATCCTGTATATCCCTACTATATATAATGCAGCCATAGTAATCTGAGTATAGATCATCCCAACAATCCGGGACGAGGGTTACTTCGTGGCGAAAGGTGCACTAGTTAGGTTCCAAAATCCACACAGCGCCTCGAAACCAGCCGCTTCCACAAGTGGGATGCTGTGTTACAGCTATGATTACCGTTCGAATCTCATTCCGCATCTCAATCCGATACACGTATCTTCTAATTCTGCGGCTTGTAATATTATACCGGGCTAGCCTTACCAAATGGTGAGTATCTCATTCGTAAACTCATCCACATCAACGGGCAGAGTTAAGGTTTCATTTCTCAAGTTTTCACAGTTTCTTCTAATTTCTGCTTTGCCGCACCATTTGACATCTCTGCTCTGATATATAATGAGTATCAAACTACCATACTCTGCTTTTGAGGTATTTTGTCTTAAGCAAGTGTTTTCGAATTGCAAACATTGATTTCGCTCTCAACTTGTTTCATTACGATCACAAAATGGTTCAGTTTCTTGCATGATGCTACTACGTGAAGTAAAATGGTCTCAAGGGCTTCCCTCTTCCGCAAGCTATCCATTTCATGGGATTACATAAACTGGATCACATAATGTATGCTCTAAAGCAAGTAATAACCGCGATGCTGTTGATTGAGAAGTCTATTTGCAATTGCAACTTTCTCGTCCCGCAAATGGGTCTTATGCGTGCATTTGGCCCAAACATCGGCACATGCCCACCAGTACTCAAACCCATACAGCCAAAAAATTGGTGTTCAGATAGGAAGGCCAGCTACCACATAGTTCGTATCTCTTTCGCGACTAGAAAGTCCGTTACAAAGGCGCTAAGTCCTTATGACAGGGTCTAGCCACGCCTCTTCGATATGATATGCACATGCCCTCAGTCGGTGGCCGCTACGTAGTAGAAGAAAGCTTGCGACGAACGTAATATCTATTCTAGCACCGTCAGGTTGGCGATACATCTCCACCATTTGTCGTTTTGCTGACGACATCGTTCTTATAACGCCGAACATCGAGCAAGCGGAGCGAATGCTGGCTGATTTCGACTGCGCCTGTGGTAAGGTCGGTCTACAGCTGAACCTAACGAAGACGATGTTTATGAGAAACGGATTGGTTCCTGATGCCCCATTCACGCTCAACGGAACGAACATCACCGAATGCTCCAGCTACGTGTACCTAGGTCGGGAAATCAATATGATGAACGATCTAGCTCCAGAGCTGAGCAGGAGGAAACGAGCGGCATGGGGAGCGTTCAAGAACATCGAGGGAGTAGTGAAGAAGACGAAGAACATCCGGCTCCGTGCCCACCTCTTCGATTCCGCTGTCCTTCCTGCCCTAACCTACGCCTCAGAGACTTGGACTCTGCGCAGGCAGGACGAGCATGCGGTCAGCGTTATCCAACGCGCTGTCGAGAGGACGATGCTAGGAGTAACCCTATACACGCAAGTGCAGAGGGGAATCCGGAGTGCCGAACTACGCCAACGATCGAAGATCAGGGACGCTGCCGTTTTCGCCAAGGAATCGAAGATAAGGTGGGCCGGACACGTCATGCGATTTTGCGATGACCGTTGGACCAGAGCGGTTACCGACTGGATCCCTCGGGACGTCAAACGAACACCTGGACGACCGCCGGCCCGATGGTCAGACTTCTTCACGAAAGCTCTGAACGAAAGGAATGAAGGACATCGTGTCCCTCGAGCGAGGAGGTCCACTGGACAACTCTTGCACGCGACAGGGACGAATGGAGACGTTGCTGGCGCCCGCTCGAGCAATTCGATGATCAACGGGACGACAGGTGATACAGGTTATCATTGTCGTAAGTCAGGGTTGGTTATTAAAAGTCAAATTGACGCCAAATGACGTGTACCAAATAATGAGAACAAAAAAAAAAAAAGAAAAAAATTCTGTTTGTGAGAAGAACTGTCGGCTATCCAAACAGTGTTTTGTCTAGCGAAGTTTTTCTTTCCTGTCTCTGTAGTAATTGCTCAAAGAGTAACTACTTCCATTACTGCAAATCTTTTTGCCTGATAACCAGTTATCTCTGATGAAACACTGACTGAATGCCAGTGATTCTGAGGCGGAGTTCCTATGAAAAGGCAGTTTATCAGAAATTAAGGTAGAGGTGACCACTGTTGCGGAGATGAAAAAAAAGGCCTAAAACCCGAGAAATGAGACCTCGTTTCCCGCAGGCGTTCTCATCGGTGTTGATCTCATCAACACTCGCGCTTTCTCCACTTGAGCACCTAGAGTCAGACGGTAAGGCCAATAGGTGGAGCGCAGCGGTGCGAGCGATGGGGTTACGGTCTTGAAAGGCCCCTCGGAGCGTACCCTTCGCTGAGAGGCACGCATCGTCCCGCACTCTCGGGGGCCCGGTTGCCTCTCTGAGAGGTATATTTCCCCTTCTTCCACCTCCGAGCATCGTGGAATCCTTCTATGATGCATATCAAAGGGCTGAGGACTGCCGCCAATGGTTGCAGATGTTTGTGTACTGAGATCTGATAAAAACCATGAAAAATACCTTAGAAGAAATCGCACTTCCTTCTGTTCAGGTAACGAAGTAGTTCCTGTCATAACGGAAGATCGATGCACTCCACAAGAAATGAAGCTTTCTGAATTCTGTGATTACTGCGAGAATCCCAGTCTTGCTGGTGACTCGCCGCCTCAATATTTGAAGGATTGGCACTTCCAAAAAAGGTATTTATTAGAGTACGAAAAGGAGTCTTGTCACATAGGAGCTTTATTTGTTGTTCATTTAAAACTACGTAACTGCTGCTCATTTAAGTATTATGTATCCGCCATTAGTGGCAAACCTCTCTGTATCGATCAGCATTAAACTCGCTTCTTCGAGAGTCATAACTCAAGCTCTCGAATTCCTTTACTGTCTTCTTCACATCGTCTGACTTTTTTCTCAAGATTATAGCGGAACCATGAAAGACGAAGATATTGCATGAATTAGTGCCAGGGGAATTCGGCAATGTGGAGGCCATTCGTTCTACTGACTATCAATTTTTCTTCTTGGCGATGAGAGAGCGGTATGGGCATCTGTCAGCCAACAAAAGAATCTTGTCGAGCAACAGACAGCCCCGCATTTCTTATATCATCGTTTTCATATATACAG